TTCGGGTTTTCGGTTTTGCTCCCTTAGCGGGATTGGGCTCGCCGGATAGAAAACATGGCGGGTCAGGACAACAAATGCTAAATATTAGCGGAAGCGGTCTGGTTTGGACTAAAACCTGGTGGGAGCGAGATTCAAAATTTAGTCCCTCGCAGATCTCTAGCTCACGGCAACGACAGAGCTGTGAATCAAGCACTTTTTCACCAGGTGTCTCTCTCTCACACACACACACACACACACGCATCTAAACGCGCATGTTTTATGCACAAACACACCTTTTAAACTTGACAAAAACTCTCAACAATTGACGGTTGTGTCTTTAATATGGTGTAAAGACTATTATGGGTTATTGAAACATCAAGGAGGATGCAGCAAAGACATATCACTTATTATATTAAAACTACTTTAAATATTATTTCATGCAACAGCCTTACATTTAAAGGGGAAACATAAGGGTGACCTTAAGCAAAAGTCCCCTAGTCTATAAGGTCTTTTAGAGCAGTGGTTCCCAACCTTTTTCTTAGGGGCCCCCCCTATGAACGTATACAAACATTGGAGCCCCCCCCACCATTTAAATACACACGCACGCACACACATATGTACTATATATATATATATATATATATATATATATATATATATATATATATATATATATATATGTGTATATATATATATATATAATTTACTGTATGTGTGTGTTCGTATAATATTAATATATAATATGTATAGAAAATATAAATTAATCACTTTTAACTTGTCTTGGCCTTCAATAAAACCAAAATTTAGGTAGGCTTTGTCATACTGTTTAATCTTTTTCTTCGCCTCTGAAGAATCACTGCATTTCCGTTTCTCTGCCGATTTTGTTTTTATTTGCCTTTACGACACATTGACAAGCACATTTCGTGAGTGAGCAAAATTTTAATAATTATTTAAAGTTATTTATTTTATTTATTTTTAATATTATGTTGGAATTTACATATATAATAGCAGGGCTGCTCGATTTTGGGAAAAATCATAATCACGGTTATTTTGGTCATAATTGTCATCACGATTATTCAAAACGATTATCAGTTAAAGTCAAAATTATTAGCGCTCCTGAGATTTTTTTAATATAAGTATTTCCCAAATTATGTTTAACAGAACAAGGAATTTTAACAGTATTTCTTCTAGGCTTATTTGTTTTATTTTAGCTAGAATAAAAGCAGGTTTAACTATTTTGAAACCAATTTAAGGTCAATATTATTAGCCCCCTTAAGCAATAAATATTTTGATTGTCTGCAGAAGAAACTACTGTTATACAATGACTTGCCTTATTACCCTAATTAAGCCTTTGAACTGCGCTTTAATCTGAATGCTTGTATTTTAAAAAAATATCTAGTAAAATATTATGTACTGTCATCATAGCAAAGATAAAAGAAATCAGTAATTAGAAATGAGATATTAAAACTATTATGTTCAGAAATAATAATTTAAAAAAAACTTCTTTCCATGAAACAGAAATTGGGAGGAAAAGGGTTGCTAATATTCAGGAGGGCTAATAATTCTGACTTCAAGTGTATACATACAGTTATTTTCCACCCTGCAAAGGAAAGAGAAATAAATACAATATATTAAAAATATAAAACAAACTGTGCTTTAAGCATCATCACTGTAAGAAAAACACTTTAGCTACAAAAATCCTTTAGTCAAGACTAGTGAGGTATTTTCTCGTTGTTTAATTAATAATCATAAAAACAGGCGGCAGTAGGAATATTTCTCACTGTCTCTTTGGTTTCTCTTTCACGTGTCTTTTGATCCTCAACTCGTTTGTTTATTACACAAATGAGAGTTAAAATAAATAATCACTAATCACCGCGTTTTGACACCTATTTGACCATTAAAGCGCTCACGCTAATGACTTTAGATGTCTGCGCTCCTCTGCTCGTCTCAGTGTGCGAATGAGCGAATGCTGACTGGCCGCGTGCTTCTGACTGAGTGTGCGTGCTGCACGCGGTCTTTCGCGCTTTTAGGAGCAACACGTGTACAACTGGAAAGGTGGCGGTATATGATGCAATAATCATTTATCTCGATTAATGCTTTTTATAATCGTTTGAAATCGAATTAATAATCGATTAATTGTACAGCCCTATATAATAGTGGAGCATTTTTATGCCTTTTTCTACCTCAATACTTATCCTCTCCCGCGCCCCCCTTGTGAACTCTGGCGCCCCCCTTAGGGGGGCGCGGACCCCAGGTTGGGAACCACTGTTTTAGAGAATATCTTCAAGTGACCAGTAGCTGTTGTTTCTTTTCCTCATATATTTATTTTTTGGCACATGTACTCATGCCTGATGGGAAAACTAGCATAATGACAGTGGCACACCATCTTGCAAACTTTGCCTCTGCTTTCACTGCGTCCTGAAGCCCCAGCCTAGCCCAAGGTATTCAGCAGTCCGAAAAAGTGACTATGGAAACCCGACTGTACCTGGCTCGCTCGCTTTAGGCACGACAGTGGAAATGCGGCTAATGTCTTCTAATGTGTCCCACAGAAGAAAGAAACTCATAAAGGCTTACAACCACATAAAGGAGAATAAATGATGAGGCAATTTTCGTTTTAGTCTGAACTACCCCTTTAAGATTAAAACTAAAATACAATGTTTCAGTCAGTCGGTGCATCTCTAGTCACTACTATTGTGTTAAGCTTGCGTTACAGTGAAGCCAGCAGACTTAGTTCAGACTTAATTAGTTGGCAAAAAGAGCACCAAAGCGGTTGCCGTTGCAAAATCTGCATAAATATTACATCAAGCAAGACACTCTCTACAGCATGATGACATTATGAAGCTGAGGTATACATTTTATGAAAGATGTATCATAAGCCTGCATGTAAAATTGATGACTCTAAATACTCAATTATAAATGTGTTATTTATACAAGAGATTAGTGCAAATGTGATTTCACTACAGAACCTCATTGAGAGCTTTTAAGGTCTGCTGTTCATCAAAAAGCCTTAAAAAAAAGCTCCTGAATCATTACAAACAAGACGCAGGTGCTCCAGAGGAAACACTATTTATTTGAGTTTGCAGATATATCCCTGCTGTAAAGACGTCAGCTGAGGTTTGTCGCATTATGATATCAACACTCGTGCAAATTCATCATTTCTCAGAAGATATACTCATCAGCAGTGTTGGGGAAAGTTACTTTTAAAATTACAATATTGAGTTACTTCCCTAAAAATGTAACTAAAAAAAGTAGAAAGTAGTAAGAAAGTAATGCATTATATTACTTTTGAGTTACTTTTGTGTTACTTTACCTTACCTGGCTGAGGTTTATCTCTTTCAGAACATACAGGTGTTTTTCCCCTTTTTTATCGAGAGCTCTGCATTTAACAACCACCTATTGACCTTATTCTAATATGCGTAAGTGCGCCTGATTACGCGATTGTTCTAGAACTTCCGATTCAGTCGCATATGGGAGAAATGACTAGGAATAATAAACGTCTTGCTCTACAAATGTTTGCATGACTATATAGTCTAAGTAGAATAATATAATAAGGATATATCAGTTTGCAACATCAAACAGCGAAACGAGCAGTTTTTAATATCTAAAAATAAAATGGAAGTGATTGAGACCGGAAGTCTTGAGCCAAAAAGCTTCAAATGGCTGCGCCCGCTCGTCAGCGAAGAATAAGGTGAATATAACCTACACCTTCATTTATTCTTTAAAAAAAATGTAGGAGAAAACTATATTTTAAAAACTTTTTGAGGCCAGAGATATACATGTTGTATAAACAGATTAATGAAAGCCTGTAATGTATTTGCTACTTTTGTGTTATTAGTTAAGTAAATTCACTGTCCATTAAGATAAAGATTGCAATAAAGCCTAAGAGTACTAACATTAAATAATTTATATTAAGTAAAAAACAAACTTTAAAACTTTAAAATGTTTATCAACAAAATGAACTGTAAGACAATAAGAAAATTCCCTAAATCAAAATAAATCTATGAGCTTTATATATTAAATAAATTGCTTTACGTGGCCTTAAAGGTGTAAATCATTTCCCAAAAGAAAAAAAATAAAATAAAATCTTACTATATTACAAAAACTTAGTTGCTTCTACAGTAACATTTAATAGTGGCTGCATCTCCTCAACAATAAAAGCGATAAATTTTTCTAAATTTTGATTTAGTATAATTAATTGTTTTTCTTGGAGAACGTGAACTAATGTCAGTCATTTGTTAAGCTGGAGGTATGCGATGTCGTGTTTCTTGCAGTTGTCAAGAGTTTTACTTATAATCTACACTTGAACCACTTCTCTGCTTCGATGAAAAAAAAACAAGACTCTATTGCAAAAAAATGTAAGTCTCCTGTTTCTAAGTGTCTGGAGTGATTATAGCCAATTCGCGGATGAATCGTTTGTTTTTAACTGGATCTTCTAAGTGAACTGGTCGAATCAGTTCACCAAAGGGAAGTGAGTCGGCATGAAACGGTTGCGTCTTCAGTAGACAAAGTACTTACTTTTTAACATGCCGGATACCCCTTCTGACTCTAACTAAATCAATATCCTGAGTTATTCAGTAACTAGAACAGTACACTGACTCATCTGCTTTGAAAAAAGAGACCCGATGATGATGATTGTGAGCCAACTGTTTGTTCCATCGCAGCACGCTCTCTCACTGAGTATGTAATTTAACCTAATGTAGTTTTATTCCGCAATATATATTTTTAAAAGCCAAGCAAGGTAAAATGTAATAAAAATAACATTGCTTATTTTTAAAAATAATGCATTACTTCATTAGTTACTTAAAAAGTTATATTATTATGTAATATGTTACCCCCAACACTGCTCATCAGACACTATAAAAATGCTAAATGTTGTCCCAACACAAATCGATTAAGTTAACTTAATTGTTTATACAAATTTAAGCAGATTTAACGACATAAAACAATTCAGTTTTCCATAAAAACCTCTAGAATTGTGTTGTTTCAGTTCATTTTAAATAAGTAGTTAAGAACAAGCAGCAAAAATCTTTTATTTTATTCTTTTTTTTCTTTTTTTTTTAGGGTAAGCATTATAAAGAGTGATGCCATGCTTGGCCTTACAACTTATGATCAAAATCTTTAAAAACAAGCTAGTAGGAATCTAATGCCTGATAAAAACATCATCTAAAAAGTGAGAAAAGCTTGTAATGCCACAGGTTTAGTACCGAAAATACAAATGTAATCAAACTGTTAAGGACACAATTATTATAGATCTGACTATTTAAAAATATATCATCAAGTCTGTTGCACTGCATGTTTCTCAATTGCTTCACTTATGATTCTGTATGGGCTACTTGTGTGCATCTGAAAAAGAGTAGCCAATCAAAAGAGTTGTCTCTTTTTAGACATCAACAATATTTAAAAACAAGCCAATTAGTATCTATTAATAAATTAGAATTGATGAAGTAACAAAAGAACGCACCATACAGTGCAATAGTGCCAAAATTACCTTAGAAGTAAAATGAAAAATAGCACAAAAACAAGACATGCTCAAAAATACCATTTTAAATACATTTGAAGAGGAGTGGTCTAACCTTGCTGAGCATTAATTACTTAAAAAGTCTGAATAAATATTCAATTTAAATTGGTGATGTGGTATAACCCATAGTAAACAAATCTAAACCACTTTCGATTTGAGAAAGTGTCATTTGTGGACTGTGTAATATAATTATCCACTATATTCTGTGGTATAGTGGACAAAGGAAGTCAAAAAAATCTAAATTGAGAATAAATGTACCTATCAAGTCCACTAATGGAGTCAATAAACCTCATTTCCAGCCATTTCATACAGTACGACATATTTTGTATCTTGTTTTCAGACAGATTTTCTTCCAAAAAAAAAAGTCAATAGTAAGGCCAGGTCCAGCAAACGCATGGGACTTCAAGTTTTCGAGTCAAATATTTTAAAATCATACCTCATTATTAACAAAATGTTTGGCACATGATTTGTGGGTTGAGGAATGAGTGAAGGTGAGAGTATGACTGTTTAAGGCTGGCGATGAGTTAAGGGGGTCATGAGTTACTCATAGACGCTCTATGGCTTGCTGGTTTTGGCTTCTGTTTGTCGTACTTCACAGACACGATGAGGAAGATGAGGAGTGTGATTCCCTGGATGGCGGCCAGGAGGAAGAAGTAATAATTCAGCCTGCACTCGTTGATGTTACCTGCAGATAGAAGAAACAAGGGAGAAAAGGGGATCATTTGGATATCAAATTTCAGTAGCGGATGATTTTGACATGATTTACAGCACAGCAATCACAACACCACAACACTAGCTGAAACTAAATTCAAGCATATTGTTTTAGTGCTTCAGAAGGTCTCAATTGTTTTGACAGGAGAGTGTTGATCAATAATTGCAATTTATAACTAAGGGTGTATTCTAGTCTAGTTAGATTTAATTGAATTAAACTCAAGTTCCTTTCACCCTTTGGTGTGGATCTTTTGGGTCAGTTGTGAATAGAGAATGGAAGTGTGTTCTGGAAATTTGAGCCACAGGAGCCTGCATTTCATTGAACCCCATGGGTTTATTGTATCATATATACACTTATTTGTATTGTTTCAGCATGGATATCGCAATGTGAACATTCACAATAGTCACATCATATGATTTGTGTCACGATCACCAGTGATCTAACCTTCATGGATCGCTGGAGAACATTTACTTGGACTACAATCCTGTCTCATATGAACTACAAGTCCTGTCATGCAACACACACACACACACACACACCTGCTCCAAGTCTCTATTGATTAGATTCACACAGTTGATACTGCTCATGGACTGATCACACTACACTTACAGTTGAGGTCAGAATTATTAGCCGCCCTGAATTATTAGACCCCTTGTTTATTTTTTCCCCAATTTCTGTTTAACGGAAGGAATACTTTTGACACATTTCTGAACATAATAGTTTTAATAACTAATTTTCTAATATTGGATTTTTTTTTATCTTTGCCATGATGACAGTAGATAATATTTTATTAAATATTTTTTAAAGATACTTCTACACAGTTTAAAGTGGTATTTAAAGGTTTAACTAGGTTAATTAGGTTAACTAGGCGGGTTACGGTAATTAGGCAAGTTATTGTATAATGATGGTTTGTTCTGTTGACTATCAAAATAAAATTAAGCTTAAAAGGGCTAATAATTTTGTCCCTAAAATAGTGTTTAAAAAAATAAAAATGACTTTTATTCTAGCCGAAATAAAATAAATAACACCTTTTCCAGAAGAAAAAATATTTTCAGACATACTGTTTAAATTTCCTTGCTCTGTTCAACATCGTTTGGAAAATATTGTAAAAAGAAAAAAAAAATCAAAGGGGGCTAATAATTCTGACTTCAACTGTATATATATATATATATATATATATATATATATATATATATATATATATATATATATATATATAGCTCACTTTGAGACTCTCATTGCTGAGTCTTGTTTAGCTGCAATGTGAACATTCTGACATGTTTTCTTTGCCTTGCCGTGTTTGATCCTCGCTTTGTTTTGTTTGTTTATTCCTGTCTGCTGCCTGCCTTTTGACCATCTGTATGTTTTATGACTATGACTCTGGATTTCTTGTATACATCTGTCTGTCTGAGTGTTGACCCTTGCTTGCCTGATAAATAAACCTGCATTTGGATCTGCACTTTCCTTGTCAGTGTCCTACTCTCATTACAGTTTGCAAATGTTGATCCAGTATTATAATTTATCAATCGCATGCGTTTTTGAGGCCTGTGATTATATGATGATTTTTAAAGCATTCAGACATAAATATATGCACTGTTAGTAACTTTAATAACAATTAATTGTATCTAATTATTTTTAACTTTACTGTCATAGGGCTCTATTTTGATGGTCCATGCGCAGAGCGCAAACGCTTTCAGGGCGTGTCAGGACGCGTTTTTGCTAATTTAAGAACGGGAAATCTGCCTTGCGCCGTGGCGCATAGTCTAAAAGGGTTGAGTTTATTTTCTTAATGAGTTATAGGTGTGTTTTGAGAATAAACCAATTAGAGTCTCATCTCCCATTCCCTTTAAGAGCCAGCTGCGTCACGCCATAAGCGCACTCGCTATTTACAGGACGTAAAGTAAGTCTAAGTGGAAAAAAATTAGCATTTCACAAGCTAACAGTTATTTAACAGAAAACTGTTAAATAGAACATCTACTGCTTGAGAATCAGTGGCGCCCCCAGAAAATTTTCTTAGGGGTGGCCAGAAGAGGCCGCACCAAATCTTGGGGTGGCACACAAAAAAAATAATGAATTCAGTGTAATGTTATATATTTTTTTCTGGTAAATGAAATAATGTAGTTTTTATTCATTTAATTAATTCTACTTGAAATATTGCAATTCATTCTTTGAAATAATTCAGCAAGTACATGTGCAAACCAAATAAAAATCTATGTTTAGTTTAAAAACACTTTTCATATACTGTATAAATAACTTCTTTTTTTACGTGCCTTTATTGTACATCATGATATGCCATGTCTAAAATTAATGAAGATTAATGAGTTTATTATTCCCAGTGATGGGTTGCAGCTGGAAAGGGCATCCGTTGTGTAAAAATGTGCTAGATAAGTTGGCGGTTCATTCCACTGTGGCGACCCTGGATTAATAAAGGGACTAAGCCGAAAAGAAAATGAATGAAAGAATAATGAGTTTATTAATTACCCAAACAAATGAACAAACTGAACAAAAGGCATTACTATACACACTCACTATACCTAATTATATTATTTATCCATATTGCTTTTTGAACCATTTTATTAATGCAGCTTCTTCTATTGATATACTGTAGCTTAAGGTAAATATTAAATTGCCATTGCTGTCTATTGAAGGTGTGTGCGTGCTGTCAAGGACGATCGGGGAGGGTAGTGGTGGTTCTAGTTTAAATGACACCCTGGGCGAACTACCCTATACACCCCCACCTCTCTTGAATTGTTAGATTTGTTATTCAATAAATATAACAATTTATTTATATTTATTCTAAATAAATACAAATAATATTAATATAAAATTAATATTCTGAATAAATAACAGAAATCAGTCCTAAATATTATTGGAAAACAACAACTGGAGTGATATGCCAAGATCACTTAAGAAACCTTTTGCATGAAAATTAATTATGACAATTCTAAAGAATACAAAAAATGTATTATAGAATTATCTGTGGACTTAGACCAGATCATGGCTGAGAAATCATGTTATGAAGTCTTACCTCCCTGACTCATTATCCCTTCTTTCTGCTTTAAAGGCATGCTTAGTGAAAGTAACATCATCATCATCATCATATTATATAAACTTTAACCGACATTTCAAAACTCGCTGCGTGCCGACACTTCTACACAAAAGGCTGTTACTCCGGTTTCACGGCGCATGAGCGGTGCCTATTATGTCGGCGTGCATGCAAACAACCAACCGGGATTCACACCGGAGTGCGTGAGGCGCGCGGGAATGGTTTTCCGCGCGCATGCGTCAGTTTGCTTTCACCAGCATTGAACCAGAGGGGGAGAGCTACGTCAGTAACACCAACAATAATTTAGTGACTGCATTTTATTTATTTATTTATTTATTTATTTATAATTTATAAGTTCATTTAAATCAATAATGTCAACCGCAAAATTATATTGGGGTGGCCAAAGGGGTGGCCACAGGGGTGGCCAGAGTTTACCGAGGGGTGGCCGTGGCCACCCCTGGCCACCCCTTGGAGGCGCCCCTGTTGAGAATGAGAGATAATGGAACTACTTTCACTTTCGCTCTTGGATAGGGAAACCTTTACGCACAGACATCAATTAGTCTATAAATAAATACTTTTGTTTGTTAAGCGCAAATATTCGTTTCAAAACTATTTCTAAATTCAGTTCTAATTTCCAGCAAACAAATAAATGAACAATATTAACAAAGTGTGTTCAAAAACCTGAGTTATATCCTAAAACACATGATGTGCCCCGTTATGGTCTAAAACCTGACAGGTGGGCAAATCTAAGCTTGTTTTTAATAAAACAAATATAAATATGGATATAATACATAATACTGCTAATAATGATAACATTATACAAAAGCAAATTGTTATGAATGAACTGAAAAAGCCTCCCGAGACGAAGAAGACATAAAAGCAGTGGTTTTTCATATTTATGTAGGCTAGAAAATAATATGTTTTGTAATATTTTAATCCTTTATATTTATATTCTATATCTATTCTTATTATATCCTATATATATCCTTAATATTTACATTTTTTCATATGTAAAGATATTTGCCTATTGCTCTCTTGTGCGTATTAAGCAGTGCGTAAGCGAGGCGCAACTCTGCGCCGGAGTTTAGACCGGGTTTGTTTTGGTCTAATGAAAAATCTATTATAGTTTCTCAAAATAGCGACGCACCAGCGGTCCGCCTCAGAACGCCTTCCTTTTTAGACCAAAACGCCTATGGGCGCACAAATGAGCGCTAATGCATTTGCTATTTAAACAGCGTAGCGCAACGCCTCAAAACGACTCTTGCGCCAAGCTGAAACTACCAAAAGACTACTGCGCCACGCCTTGCACCACACTGCGCCGGGTGTATGATAGGGCCCATAGACTCAAAAATGATGGAACACTGTTTATTTTAGTTGTAACTTTTCTTTATTATATTAATATACAATTTTAATATGTTTATTCAATTATTTGCAGATGCACTTCCCTACAGAATCAGCCCTATCAATCTAAAATGATCAGTTCTTTCTAAATAAAGCTATTTAAGTCATCTGGTGAAATAGTGTTCATAGAAAATCTTTAAAAAAGGAAAGGTTTTCTTGCGGCAGGTCATTAATACCCTGTCACTCATGGATATGTTTGCTCATTTATTTGATCCGATCCCTCTGTGTCCATGCTCAGCTTCTCCAGACCCACTTTAATGCTGGAGACTGAATATTGTGGAATTCATATTTTCAGCTTCTCAGACACACAAATAATATTTTTAATAAATATATTTACACATTAGTCCATTTTATTTTAAGTATTTGGAAGATGTTTTTCAAAAAAAGCATATATAAACTGTCAATATTTCTATGGTTATTTGCATTATTTTACATATGATCTCCTGACCGTGTCATAGAACAGGGTGGAATGCAACTCGCCATCATGTAAAGTTCCTGATAAACTGGTGCAAATAGAAATGGAAAT